CACCATACTCGTACATTTGGATGACATAATCGCACGTGTAAAAAACCCTGATAATGGTTATAATGGGCTATAGTAAGATTTGAATCAGTTGAGGAAAGAGAACCTAAGCTGAATCGCAAGAAGTGTGAATTATTCCATCAACAGGTGAGTTTCCTGATACACATAGGCAGAAGAGGCATTTAACAAGCTGAAGAAAGAGTTAACCACTACTCCTGTATTACCATGCTCAACTGTCGAAGATCCACTCATAATACAGTTGTCAGTGATTTTGCAGTGGGAGCATTGTTATCACAAGTAAAAAATTAAGAAAAAAAACGTGAATATATATACTATAGCAAGGTAGTGAATGCTGCATAAAGGAGGCACTGTACCACTTGGAAGGAGCAACTAAGTGTAATTTGAGCCCTAAGTCCTTTCCACCATATATGGACCCAAGTTTACACTCCAGACAGATTGTACAACATTGGAGTAGCTGGCAAAGTTTTACACAAACCAGAAGACCAGATAGCAAGGTGGCTCCATAAACTTCAGGAATATAACTCTAACATCATGCATCGTCCAAGATGGAATCATGAAAATGCTGATGCATTATCTCAAAGACTACGTCTTATTGAAAATGTAAACACTAGGAAAATAGGGAAGCACTTGACAGTAAAGACAACCAACCTAAAGTACAAAAAATATAGTTCAAGATGGAACCTCCACAGATGATGATGATGAAGAACTAATGTGGTCTCATACTCAAATGGAAGATGCTGAGGTATAATATATAAGTTTGAAACTAATTATTCAGTGGATCTATAATAGTGCAGAAAAACGTTCATGGCAAACGGTCATTCTTTACAACTCAAAGATAAAGATATACTGTGTGCAGTAGCTTCCGTTATTCCTACAAGAGATCTTGTTATATTGGATTTTGGAAGATACCCGTGAACAAAAACAACGACTACAGTTGGTACTTTTACAGTCTTTACATTCTGTAGCATCTCCACAATTTTACAGTAGCTGAACGTTTAGGTATTAAAAAGACACCACAGAGAGTAGTAGAGCATTTCTATTGGGTTGGGTGTTGGGTATCTGTAGATAATTGGTGTCAATTATGTGAAATATTCTGTGAGCAAAAAAGATCCACTAAAGAAACAGCAAGGGTAGCTAGAGCAATGTTTTGTTGAATTACCATTTGAGAGAGTTACCATTGATGTGCTTGGTTCTCTGCCTCAGAGTAACAGTAGAATTAAATACACCATGGTTGCGATAGGCTATTTTACCAAGTGTCCAGAAGCATATCTTGTGCCTAATCAGGAAGCAGCAACTCTAGCAAGGAAACTCGTCAACAAGTTTGTTTCCAGGTTTAGGGTGCCTATGAAACTGCACTCAGATCGGGGACAAAACTTTGAATCGGCATTGTTTGAGGAAACGTATCAGACGATTGGAATAATAAAGACCAGGAGAACAGCCCTTCATTTATTTTTTGGCGATATGATAGAGATATACACTTTTAAATTAATTAGCCATTGATGATGATGGACATAAGAAATCGCCAGATCAAGATCTTCCACTGCCACTTGTGACTTATTGGACAACAATGCACCATCATCACTGATGTTTGGAAAATAACTTAAAGTGCCATTAGACCTTTTGTACTCATATCCAGATGATAGTCACTCAGCAGAGTTTGACAGAGAACATGCAGAGAAACTAAGGACCAATTGATGTCATATACAACTTTACCCAGGAAAACTTAAATCAGATCGAGATAAAATAAAAAATCTCTAAAATGTTCATACTGATAAGATTGGATTCCATTAAGGTGACATGATATGGCTGTCCAATCCAACCACAAGAAAGGACGAAATCCAAAGCTAAGCATTTATTAGGAAGAGCCATATATTGGTTTACAGAATCCACAAGAACAGGTAGCACAAATCAAAGGTCATCCACCATGATTATCTTTGGAAGTCAACCTGCTGAAGATCCCAGAGTTTCTTTCGAAACCACTTCCAGAAAATCACCAAAGATAGAGTCATCAATGGATTCGCTAGACCACCTACTCTGGGAGAACTCAACCAGTAACAGGACAGCACATGATGATAAGGAACAAGAGGATATCACATTTGCATACAATAATCTTCAGAGGAAAAAAATCACCAAAATGACATGGCGAATAGACAGTTTAGTGTACTGTTTAATTTGTATATTAGGATTGTTACAAGGACTTCACAATCTAGAGTGGGAGCAGTATTTTAAACTACTTTTTTAAAGTTTTAATGTATATGTTTGCTGGAAGGCATAATGCGTTAGGATGACAAGGGTACGATATAAATACAAGAAAAGAAGGAGTGAATCAGTGAGGATGGATTGATTAACTTAGGTAACTGTCAGAAAAGTTTTTCAGTGTTAGTAGTGTGAGTTAACGCGTATATTTTGCTGTTTATAATTCAGTTACTCGGTAAGATACGTATTTGTTTATTGGTCAAAGTTAAGTAAATTAGGCATACGAAATTAGTCACGAAATTTCTATAAAAACGTTGTATTTGACCTTAAGCCTACAAGAAAATGTGGTTGTATCAAAGCTTTATTGAAGAAATTAATTAATTTGTCATCATTACGTGGATGGACTTGGCATTTTTACCAAGTAATCCAAAAAACTCTCCCAACGATAGAACACGTTACAACAATATATAGAAGCGTCGTTTAATAAAAAATAATTATGAATGAAATAACAATATGGACTGATAAATTAAAAACTATAATTATTCAAAAATTGACTCAACAAGATAGTACTGTTTCAAAAGGCGATTCGAGTTCTTTTTCAGGATCAAACACGGAACTGCCAAAACATGGCCGTTGTTATAGTAAGCTTCCCAAATATGAATGTAAATATACATATGACTCAAACGTTAAATTTCTAGTATCTATGTAGATACCTTTAACTGAAGTATAGTTAGCGCCACTTTCTTCGAAATTTACTGTCATTGACACATGATTACATGGCATATTTTGAAAATGTTTAGTAGAACCACATTTTTGTTAATTTTATCCAAGCAAATGACAGTTTTCTTTCTTTGATCTTTTATCGAAACAAGTCAAAAGATAACAGTCTAAAAATAAGAGAATATAGCTGTACCATCTTACGCGTGTTCTAAATAATATTGTTACGACAGCGGTAGTCACGTGACGCTGGTAACACGTCATGGGTTTCTGGAAGGATCATAACTGTTACAGGCAACTCTAGTCTTTTCTATGCGCCCTCTATTTTAGTATATAAGCGGGCAAATAAAGTGACGACATAGACAATTGCAGACAGGCAGAGACGGATAATCGAGTCAAGTGAGTGGTAGTGACCGTAAATAAAGTTCGTGGATCGTTGTGAATTATAGCGTGTGTTTAAGTAAAAGGGACTGTGGAAATTAAGTGTATTGCAAAGTTGAATTGAGAAAGAATAAACTAGTTTTATTTAAGAAAGGACTTGTATCGGCTGAAGTTTCTCGGAAAGAATTTCTACGGAAAATTAACAAACGAGAAGAGAGATGTAACAATATTAACCTTTTAATTCGTTTAGATCTACAGCGCAGATAGCCTTCGAGTAGCTTTGCTCAAAATTTCACAAGACAAACCTTTAGATCTATCTAATGCCCTTTCGTTTCCTGATACTAATGGCGTTATAAATACGTATGAAATGCAATGTTTATGTGAGATGATGCTCCCAGGAGATTGACAAGCTACGAATACATATAAATATATATATATATATATTTGTATAAGATATACACAGCGTGGTCACAAGTAAATAGACACCATCTTTTCAGAAAAAATGT